CTCTTGCTAATCCAAGTAGCTGATCCTCACCATTAAGGGACAATTATCCACACCTTAAAAATTTATATTAATTATAAAAATTTATATTAATTATAACATTTTACATCAGTTTTTAATTGATTTTAATGTTAATTTGACTAGTATCAATTAAAAATAATTGATAGTAATACTTATTTAATTAACATCAATTAAAAACAACTGATATAAATTATTATTAATTTATAGAGAAATTATCTCAAATGCACCTAATCTAAGTTTTTGTTCCATATATACACTAACACTCTAAAACATTCCTTCCATAATATTTTGTATCATATTAATCTTAGTTAGACAAAACATTAGTTAATAACTGAGAAGAAAAATAATGTACAAACAAATGTATCAATGGCCAATACTGATCTGAAATTCGAATCATTTGTTTTGTTTAGGATCGCTCTTCTCATTTGATTGTGATTTGTGACTGTAAATCTCTTAGATCTTTGGGTTTTTTTTTTGGTGGAAAATTGATTTCGGAATTTAAAGCTCAAAATCATATAATGATAGATAGATCTGATATAATTGGATAAAAAAACTCAAGAAACCCGAGGTAAAACAACAACAATGGTGAAAACAAAATCGGCGGAAATTAGGGTTTGAATGTCGCAGAGGTGAGGAAGGAGATGAGCGTATATTTAGAAAGATATTCTAAAGTTTTAGAAAAATTTTCCTAAAATATATAAATTAAAGAAGTCATTACATGTATTTAGAAATGTCTTTGTAAATTATATAATTAATTATTTTTTTTGTTAATTTATACAACTCAAATTCAAAAAGCCCTTCCAGGAAGCCTTTCCACAATTCAGGAAACACATCCACAATTCAGGAAGCTCTTTCACAATTCAGGAAGCCCTTCCACAATTCAGGAAATTTTAAAAAAATTTAGGAAAGCTTTCCTAAACAATATGAAACGATGTTAAATTCTAGTATTAGGAAGACCTTCCAAAAAAATCACGAAACATTAACAGAAAAAAACATTTAGGAAGACTTTCCTAAAGGGTAGAATCGGAAAACTCAAATAAAAAATATTAGGAGTAGAAAAATTTTAGCTTCCCTGTTATATTTATCCTGAAAACTTATTTTTCAGTATAATTATGGAAATTGTCCTAATTTATATCATTTTTGAAAACTAACACAAATATATAAGTTTATATCAATTATATAAGTGAAGCATTTGATCAACTAGCATTAGCATCAATAATAAACGATGTTAATATTTTTTCAGTTATAAAAGTGATGCAAATAAAATTTTAACTAAACAATAACTTGTCACACATTGCAAAGAATGATGAAGAGTACTAGTTTTCTCCTCAATAAAAGAAACTCATCAACACTAAACTTTTTTCTAAGTTAAATCATATGTATGTATTTACATATATTGCTCAGAATAATAAATAGAAAATGATTAGTTACCTTAAGTTTATAATATTTTAAAAATTAATAAAAAAATTTAAATCAATATAAATTTTAGTATCCCTGAATTTTAATATATAATATTATTTATTATAACTGGTATTAAATTTTAATATCATTTATTATAACTTATGTAAATATTAATATTATTTATTTTAAGTGATGTAAATATTAATATCATTTATTTTAACTGAGTCAAATTTTAAAATCACTTATTGTAAATGATATATATTAATATCAATTAATATAAGCGATGAAAATAGTTGCATCATTAATAATATTGATATAAATGATTAGCATCACCACTTACGTAATCATTTAATTAACTGATGCAACTGAATTTGCATCTATAAAAAAATGAAAGTAACAAATAAAATAAATGATACAACACATATGATTTCCTATAGTGCAAGGAGAGGCTCTGTTGTAGACACCAGCTTGCATTTTGAGCTTGGTACTAGGCTAGGAGTTTGGGAAAAAGGTAGTGTTAAGTGGCTTGATCTTTAATGGTTTACATCTTTTGAGAGAAGAAGAAGAAGAAGTGTGGGAATGTTATTGTTGGGAAGATTATTAGATTTTGTTGTTAAGTAAAAGGAAGAAAGGTCTAAGTGTTAAAGAAGAGAAGGTGCCAATAACAACAAAGCTTACAAAGGTCATCCAAAAGGAAAATCTACAAAAGGTGATGAAAATAGCGCCAACAACAACAAAGAAGAGCAAGTTCCAAAATGAAGTCAACCACACAAGCAAAAGAAGAAGGAGTTTCCCCCACATATCAAGACGAAGTAGATGGCAAGTGCTTTGGGAAAGGATAGATCTAGGGGCTTCACTTGGGACTTGGGAAAGGAGTGATCTCTTTGATTATTTGAGCTTTCATTGCATGAGATCATTTTAATCTCATAACCTTGTCCCTTAAACCAAATGTTTTCACTTGATTTTCACAAACTTGATTCATCGGTTACAAGCTTAATGAATGTTAAAGAGTTGATTTATTTGAGCATTTTTCTAGGCTGAGTTTGAGATCATTTTGAAACTGGATAAGCATAGCTAGGTTCTTTGAAGTATGACTGGTCATGATATGCATCACACAATTTGGCACTTGGACATTGATTTGATTTCTTTACCTTAGCATTTTTTGGATTTAAGTACCCACCTTTAAACCTTATCTCCTGTATGTCTTGGTTTGTTTGCTTGAGGACAAGCAAAAGGCAAGTGTGGGGGTGTTGATATCTCTCATACTTGAATCATTTAGGATTGCATTTAGTTCATGTTTTAGTCTTCTCTTGCATGCTTTCCTTCTCATTTGTCCAATTTTTATTTGGTCTTAGACTTAAGTTGCACTTAGGTTGTAGTTTGTATTTTCTTTGCATAAGGAATGTTTTTAGGTACCAAAGGAGCCTTTGGAGACATGGTGGAAGCTTGAGAATGATCTAGGGAGTTGTCCCAGCCAAGGAGAATCAAGAAGAGCCAAGGAAGTGCATTTTGGGACCAATGTCGAGCTTGATGAGGTGCATGTCGCACGACATATTCCCGCCGAGAGAGAAGGAGTCTATGCAAGCACTAATGTCGAGCATCAGAGGGCGATATCCGGAGACAGGACAACCATGTCGTCCAAGCATGTCGTACGACATCTTTGGCCCGAGACACCCGATCAAGATGTCGACCATCTATGTCGACCAGATCAGCATGACATCAAGCATCTGAAGATCAATGTTGTCCACCTATGTTGACCTCTTCAGCTCGACATCCTCCTAATCCGAAGATCACTTATTTACAAGTTTGCTTCTCTTTTAGGGTTTTTGTCTCTTAGTATAAATAGTTTTGGACCTAAAAATATTAGCAAGTCTTTTCTTGCTTCTAAACTTAATTTCTCTTAATTGCTTTTGCTTTGTAAGAACAAGATCCATCTTTTAAATATAACTTTTTTTGCATTTATCTCTTTAATTTCTTATCCCTAATCATGCTAAACCCATCAATCTTTGTGGATTTGATGATTCTGATGATGATTAGTGGGTAATTTCTCATAGGAGCTTAAATGTGGTAGATTAGGAGAATTTAAGGTTTGAGTAAGGCTTGTTAGTGTTTAATTTCATTGATTCCTCTCTATTAGACTGTTTACACGTTAGATTTTTCTTGATCTCATGAATCTAGAATTAGGCTTTCTCTTATGCTCAATAAGTGTTTGATGAAATGCTGATATTGTCTTTTAGAGGATTTACTTGTCTTAGCACAAAAGATTGACTGTCTAACAAGTATTTTGGCTTGAATATAGTTGATTGAACCTGCTTGCTATTTATTCTAGCACTAATGAAAGTTAGTTCTTGTTAGGATGTTTTAGTAAAGTGATGATCATCAAGAGATTGAGATTGTCTTACTTAATTGTGAACTATATGTCTAGGAATTAGCATTACTTGCTTGCTTGCATTGTTAATGAGATTGATAACGGCCTAGTCTTGCCTTTGAATTTCCAAAACTCCATAGCCACATCTAGAAACCTTGCTTTTATTTATTGAATTTCGAATTTGCTTAGTACTCTGCTTTGCTTTCTATGTTTTGTTGCTTGATCATTGCTAGTCATTACTTCTAATAGTTCTGTCTAGTCTTTGGTTCACTTAGTTGATTAGTTTATAGTTTGGATCAAACATTTCTCTGTTTTGGCTTGACTTAAAGCTTCTATTGCATTCCTAATACATTCATGTTAGACCTATGAATTTGACAAAACCCTTGCTGCAAAGACTAGTACAAGCTTGGGTAATTGAGAGACCTAGAAAGTCTTGTATCATCTTTCCCCATTTTTTTCATCCTTACTTAGGATCTCAATAATGTCTCCCATGATTAACCAAGCATTACTTCTATTAGTTGATATTCTTTTCAAACTCTCCCAAAGAATGTTACGCAAATTAGGAGTTGGATGTCTATAGACAAAGGACAAAAAAAACTAATTCCATTACTTTGAACATAGCAATCTACAATGTTTGGAGATTGATGATAATCAGATAACTGAACATATTGCTTAAAAAAGATGACCTATTGGAAGAACTGAAACATAGCTTAGAAAACCCAACTAACATCCAAGGTCACAAATATAATCATCTTGCGACTTTGTTTCGGAAAGGCATACTATATCCAGGAGATATTTTCGATTGATCTCATTTAGGCGTTAAACTATCAAGTCATTGCCTATAACTTGACAGTTTCAACAGGCTGTCCTCATGGCGGAAGAGGTGGTTTAGGGTTCACCGTGCCTCTGTTGTTTTCATTTTCATCGCTTGTAGATGTCTTGCCACTGCCTTCTCCTCTCTAGATCATCTTCGAGAAATACTTGCCTACCATATCCGCCACCTCAATGAACTTCTATTTTGATTTCACTTTTGCTCTCCTTGCCTCCACAGAATTCTCACCATAAGAGTTACAGATGACATCAAGATCATATCTCTCTGTTTGTGCTATTGTACGCATTGCTGAGCCACTAAATATACTACCTTGAAGATACACATCCTCTTCCATCACTTCTTCATCCGATACCAGAACATCTTCTTGTGCTCCTTCTATTATCTCTTGTTCCTCCTCACGAATTTCATCATCTGGCTCCAAATTGTCACACTTTTCTTGGGCTTGATCATCTGTCATACCATCTTCAATTATCTCTTCAATAGTAACACCATGTGCTCGTTCTTCCTGATGATTCAAGTTCTCCATAGCAGGTTCATCATCACTTCCATCGTCATCATGATCGTCAATATTGTCCACAATTGGACCTCCATTTTGGATGAGGAAATTGCATGAATCATTAGTAAGCATACCACACACATCACATAAACCCCTCAAACGTTCATAAGTGAAACGAAGGAGCGTATTGGGGAGAATTTAAAGTTGCACTGAAATCAGAGAGATTCATGAATATTCCAGTCAATGCAAACCCTCAAAAATTTAACTCTAGCTGCCATGTCTGCATTAAAATCCACATCTAGCACCATTTCATGGGCTCTGCCGATATGAGCGACGGCATCAAGGCTGAGGTAATGGTAGGAAAAGCCTCTGGTTTGTACCCAAAACGGGAAGCAATGTTTCTCCAATGGGTTTGTCCTTGGGGTCTGCAACATCCCAAAGACCCATACGCAATACCCACTCTAATGCCTTCTTGTATGAGAACACAAATTGGAATTGTTTGCATTCGATGATCCTGCCATGAGCATTGCCCACCAATCCCCAGATTCTGAGGAGATTTAGCCACAAACGATCATAGACTTTTATCTGCGGAATCACTAGACCATCAATGATGACAAATTGGTTCGCCGCCACCACCTAATTCATGACCTCTGCTGGAAGAATGAAAGAGGAGTCTTCCGCTATGATGTTGATGTCTTGAATCGCTCGATGCAGATTATCGACCATTATCTCCAGTAGCAAGTAGAATATTAGTGGATAAACAAGAATTAAGAGGAAAATGCTTGAAATTTTTGAATGAAATTGATTTGTCTCTTCGCTTTAAAAAACCATCTCTATTAAAAACTATCATCACGAATAATAACAGGATCAACTGTAAAAATGTCTAAGGAGAGGTGGAAAAAAGCATGATCATTCTCCAAAGAGAAATGGTGCACACAAAAATAAAATAAAATCCATCAAATTCACATTCATCGAGATTCAGTTGTTACTATATAATCTTTTACTAATTTTTCTGTTATGCAGCCACCTACTTTTATACTATTATTATTAAGGGATCATTTTTGAAATGATCCATTTGATGATTTTATTGACATGACCTTTCCTAAAACGACTCATAAGAGGAATTTACTAGTGTGCTTTTAATATGTTGTTAGTCTATCAGTAAATTGCAATTAGTTTGTCATTAGTCTATATTCAACTATATGATCAATCAATTTACCAATAGTCTGCATTCAGTCTGCCATTATTCTGCTACTAATTTACAAGTAATAATAATTAGAAAGACAACACTAATATTTATAAAAATCATAAAAATAATGAATTATTTTGGAGAATTTTCTCTATTATTAATTTATCTTGATGATCTTTTAGATTTACCAATATATTTCTACATATATAGAGTGACTCCGCTTTTTGACGAGCCTAGTTCTAACAACATATGAGTAGGCGGAATTTCAAAATAAACAAAATAATTGTTGACAAAAAAAAACAAAATAATAAACAAAACAGTTAATTTGCGATTATGGGCCGAAAGTTTTAGAAATGATTTAACAGAAAGTTGCGGCAGTTTACCATGAGGATAACCTACTTGACTCCGTGCACATGTGATGAAGAGAAAAAAATATTGACATAAATTAATTGAGCCATGGGTTTCGGCAACTCCTAAATGAATTTTAACCATTTTGAATATTCTTTTTATAAACAGATATTCAAAGTTTAAATAAATGTATTTTTGAATTGTATGAAAATCCAATATTTTATTATTTAACTTTTTTATAATAGCCAACCATAATTAAAATTACAGTACAAAAAATTAAATTATAGACTTTCAAGCAACTATGTAAATCCTTTTATCACTAAACACCATAACTTAGTTTTCTTAAGAATGTGGAAAATACTATTTATTACTCACAAAGGAAAAATATTTATCAAAGTGGAAGTTGAAAGTTTGAAAAAAATAGTGTTTAAATTACGAAATATAGTGGAAAAGGAGGGCTTATTAAAATATATATTAATAATTTAGTTTAATTCTTTTTTTAGCTACTATCTTTTAAATTATCAAAATTATAATAGATTTATAGAAATTTTCTTTTATATAAAAGAATTTAAAATATAATATATATTTTTCTCTTATTTTTATTTATAAATTTCTAAATTTTATAAAGTAAAATAACAATGACACCTATCGAATTATCCAACTTTGACGTACAAATATGTTTATTTTAGAAAAGGGTTTTCTTGCTAAGATCTTGGTATTTTATTTTGTTTTCCGTAAGATTTCTACAGTTTTTTTCTTGAATGTTTATGTATTCCAATATTTAATTTTTTTATTGAATGTCTGATTGATATTGTGTATATATGCATATATAATCTAAGATTCATGTAGATTCATATTTAGTTTTGTCAGGAAGCTGCAATGATCATGCAAAGCCATTTTTTCTTTCTCCACCAGATCATCCATGATTTTTAAGTTATATCTTTATTCAGTACTCATTAAGATCTTTTTTTTTTGCAATCTAATATTTAATAATTTTAATATTTAGATTTGTAGGATCAGTGGTGTGGTGTCTTTACATTATTTTTCATTGTTTTATCTTTTGTGTGCAATCTGCATGCTTTGATTTGAATATTTTATCTACATATATTAATTTAAGTTTGATTCATAACTCTATCATATTTTATTGTTTAAATATAATATTAGAATGTGTTACTCATGTATTATTAATGTTGGTTCAAATATAAGCAGTGACTAGGTAGAGAAATCAAATTTTACTACTTGTTAAATTCTGAATGTAAAGTTATTTATATAGTGTTTTTCTTTGTTAGTTTTTTCAATCAGAAATTCCCAATGTATTAATCATTGTATATTTAAAAAATATAATTGTGCGATACTCGTTTATGTCTGATAGTGATTTACTCATATTTATAGTACTTTCTCAAATATTATGGTTGTGCATTACTCGCTTATGTTTTTGACCTTTGGGTACATTTTGAATGAAAGATAGAAAATTTTCTAGACTTGTGATTTTTAAGATTGTCTCACCTTAGAGACGTTGAGTTTAGATTGATGATCGCCTATGTGGTGATGTGTTCGAGATCCCGGAAGACATGTGTTGCTATCTTGAACTTTAATGTCATAAGAAATCCTTACTTGATTTAGTAAAAGTCTTGATCACGAGTGAGAGATGCTAGTCTTCGGGAGCTTTTCACTTTGCGTTATTGTGAAGGAAGTTGCATATTTTCCTTCTTGGAGCTTCTGCATCGTTTCCAGTGAGCTGAAAACGTTTTATCCTTCTTCATTCTTATGCTTACAAGCCCTTTAAAAGTCTTGAAGAAGGTGATAAAGATGGATAAGTGACTTAACTTGACTTGGATGGAGTTTTGTTTAATTTCTCCATTTTTGATGCAACATCAACTTGCCACGGGAGTGGAAGTTGTATTGTGGTCCTGGAAGTCATGTATAAGCCTTAAACAAGAAGGGGACTTGCAGTAATTGACTGGATGTTGAAGGAGGATTGGTTGAGTAAGAGCTTTAGCTGGCACATAATAGGTTCTTCTGGCCGCGTGACGGGTTGTCACAACAGCTTAGTCTGGACATTGGATTTGGGCTCGGCATGGGGTTTGAGGGGTCGCAGCCACCGGTGATTGCGCCGTTTCATCATGTTTCATGGCACGGCCAGACTCCTTATGGCCACGCCACGAGCATTCAGTCGCATGGTGAGTGTTCTTCGAAACTGCTTCTTCATATTTTAGGTGTTTTTGACATTTTCTTATTTTTTTGTTTTTTGGGGGTTCGCAAGAAAGTTGCAAACTAAGAAAAAAATTAAACCAGATACTAAAAAGTTAGAAAACCAAAGAAAAAGAGAGAAAATTGATGTAAAGCAAAAAAGACGATCAAATTGAAGCTGAGCTTCAACCGGAGGATGCAACGCTTGTACCTGCTAGACCAATGACTCGAGCGAGCCCCCAAAAAGTTTGAAGTTTGAAGTTCTACTTAAACTATCTTTGAGTATTATCTGTTTGATTAATATTTTGATTGACCTACAGGAAATATTCTGAAGTTTTTGGTTAGTTCAATAAGAACTCTTGTGGAATCACTGTTAAAAATTCATTTTGTAGAGAAATACTTGTGAGGATACTTAACTACTAACATGTTTGCTACCTTACATGAACAATTATGTCAAATGATGGAGGCAACCGTGAAAACAATACCCATGTAGTAGGAGAACCAGTGATACCAAATTATCAAATGCAAGCAATGTTAGGAGAGATGCAGCGCTTGATGAGAGTTGAGATGAATGATGTCTATGAGAATTTAGAGGAAGTGTAAATAGAAGCACGGCATAGGCAACTACAAAAAATTTCTGATAGAAGAGACGAAGATAAACCTAGACACTCAAGGGCTGATGAAGAAGTTGATTATTACAGCAGTAATAGTCATTCATCAAGAGGAAGCCGTAGGAGACCACGACATGCTACAGAGGGCAGGGATCAAGCTGATGAAAACTTAGGTGGTATTAAGTTAAAGATGGAATCTTCTCAAGGCAAAAACGATCCAGATGTATATCTAGAGTGGAAGAAAAAGATTGAGCTCATTTTTGACTGCTAAAACTACACCGAGCTGAAGAAAGTACAAGTTGCAGCCATTGAGTCTTGTGATTATGCGATTAATTGGTGGGATCAGTTGGTGACAAGAATAAGACGAAATGGAGAGTATCATGTTGATACATGAGCTGAGAAAAAAGTTGTGATGAGGTGACATTTTGTTCTAACCATTATCACTAAGAACTGCATCAAATATTGAAAAGGCTAACAAGGCAATTGTAATGTGGAGGATTATTTTCAAGAGTTGAAAACTCTTATTATAAGAGCCGGTATTGTAGAAAGACAGAGAAGCTACAATGGCGAGATTTTTAAGCGGTTTGAATAGAGAGATTCAAAATAGATTGGAAATGCAACACTATGTGGACTTAGAAGATATGTTGCATAAGGCTATTCTGGTTGAGCAGCAGCTCGGGAGGAGAGGTACAACACGCCAGACTTATGGTTCAAGTTGCAAAGGTTGAATGACAGTGGTGAAGTAAAGGTTACATGACAGGTTCTGATTTCATTTTGCATTGGGAGATATGAAGATGAGGTGTTGTGTGATATATTGCCAATGCAAGCATGTCATATATTATTAGGGAGGCCTTGGCAATTCGATCATAAAGTGCACCATGATGGTTTTATCAACAAGTACATGTTGGGATACAAAAGAAGAAACATTACTCTTGTTCCTATGACACCAAAATTTTTTTACCAAGATGAGTTACAACTGAAACAAAAGGAGAAGCAAAGAGCTTTAAATGACCAAAACACATACCACCAAAAAGAGTGTGAGTTTAAAAAAAAAATCTGAAAAGGCCTGTGTAAGCAAATCATTGAGAGAACACATAAATTCGTTTGAGAGAGTTTGTCAGAGCAAAAGAGTAATGTTATTGAAACAGCCAATAAATCTACCTTAGTACAACGAGGCTCTTGTGGTTCTGGCGACCTGGATCATGTTTCGTCTAGTTGTGATATTTCTTTATTGCAGGAACAATTATACTAGTCACAAATGAGATGAGACGTCCAAGGAAATATAAGTAGAAGTCAAGTGGTGCTTGTGTGTTTTAAGATAAGTGGTGCAGCTTCATCATTTAGGGTTTTGACAATATAGAAGTTAACCGGGACTCTATAATCGCATATGGTGATGTGGAGATCATAGTTGATTCCTCTAGTGATCTGATCTAAAGAAAATCGAACTTCTCCTCTTACATTGAACTTTGTGAAACCTTC